CAGAGAAGCCCTATTTGAAGTAACACTTGAAGATCTGGGGGACAAGGATTTGCTAGTGCAAGTTTCCAGGGCTTGAAGGGACTTGGGGATTTAAAGCAATGCGCAAAGTCCAGTGTGTTTGGGGAGAAGTAAGTGAGAAGACCAATTGGGTTAGGTCACAGAATTAGTCAGAGGCCAGGTCATGAAGGGCCCTGAAAGCCATTAAGGACTTTGGATTTCATCCTGGGTAATAGGAAGTTTTTAAATCATAAATGTATTAATTCTTTTGTTGAAAAGATCACTCTTGCCTTAGAAAAAGGGGTCAAGGGTGAAAACAAGGAGACTAAATAAATAGGCTGTTGCAGTAGGTGCTGGAGGCTTGGACAGGGTGAAAGCTGTAATTCTGGGAAGTCAGTAGATTCCAAATATATTTTGAAGGCATCTCTAGTAAGCACTGCTGATAGGTTGCATTGGGTGAGTGAAAAGAAAGGAGAAAACACAGAGGTTCTCAGGTTTCTCTTTTGAGCAGTGGGATGAATGAAATACCATTCACTGAGAAGACTGTAGAAGAACATTTTTTATTTGGGGTGATGCAAGAAGCAAATATAAAATTTTATTTGAACATGTTGAAGTATGTTATGCTTCCTCAATAATTTGTAATTGAACTAGATGGTTTGAGGTTTACCCAAACTGCAAAAATAAGCCAGGTTATAACAAAGTGTCCTGCTATCTGGGAAATTAGAATAAATGGTAAATATTTAAAGTATAAGTTCATCAAGCAAGTTAGTATTTCTGTTAGGATAATAGCTACAATTTGTTAAAGGGTTTTAGTTTGAACCATATGAAATTATGGATATCGACAATTTTGAACTTGAAATGGCAATATCATATGGTTCATCCCAGTACATAGTAGCCACAGAATTATTTCTTTATATATGAATGAATAAATATTCACAAAAAGCCTTAAGGTAGGCTTTTTGTTATCTTACAGTTGATAAAATGGAAATTCTGAAAGAGGTTAACTAACCTGCCACAGGGATGGTGACAAGAAAGTAGGCAAGGAGGAATGAAAACAAGGTCTTTCTGACCTAGCATCTGAACTTTAAGCCACAAAGTCATACGACCAAGATCTCTAGCCAAGGAGTCCTGCTGCTTCCAAACGAGAAAAGCTTCAGACCTCATACACAGATATGCAGATACAAGAGTGCTTGGTCTGATTGGATGGAGAATTGCCGACTGTCTCTCTTCTGGAGAGACCCAAGTCCAAGTGGACCTTACAAGCCAGCATTGCATTTTACAAGTAGATACACTGAACAAAAAGAAATCAGATAGTCAATACTATTAAAAGTTTCTCAAAAATTCCCATCAATTTCTTCAAAAATTTCCATATTCCCTTCTATAATCATCACTGAACTTCTCTATGCTACAAAAATATTAACATAAAACAAGTGAGTCTAACCTCAGAGAAAGAATATATAATGTCACAGGTTGGAGCTTATCACTAGTCAACAAGCTTTGACCACTTTTATCAAATGCCTCAGAGCACATTTATTACTGTACTCTCAAGCATTCTTATACACTATTAGAAGTGATACTGCCCATGAGTGAGATTCAATATGGAAACATGTAAAATGTGTTATCAATTATAGGGTCTTCAAGCTTCTCCCTCTTTACATAGTTTCTAGGTTATCTAGATTTCATTAAAGTGAACACTACATGTGGATCAATTAGGAACTCTATAAATACAGTATATCAGTTTGATCCGTTAGTGCTTAGTTGTGTGAGACAAAGGCTGACAAAAGTTTCCATAACTAAAAAGCTTTCTGTCTACCCTTGGGAAGAGTATTTCCCACATAGCTCTCATATTAGCAGTGTCAATTAGAGCCAACTATTCCTGGTGGTAAGCAATAGAAATAGTCACTTGTCAATTAAATCACACTCCTACTAATGGAAAATTGAATTTTTTATTTAATAAGCATGTGAATCTGGGGCCCCTGGGTGGCTCAGTCAGTGAAGCGTCTGACTCTCGATCTTGGCTCAGGTCATGATCTCTCAGTTTGTGAGTTGGAGTCCTGCATTGGGCTCTGCACAAGCAAAGCCTGCTTGGGAATCTCTCTCTTCCTCTCTCCCTGTCCCTCCCCCATCTGCATTTCCACGCTCTCTCCCTCTCTCTCTCAAAATAAATAAATAAACATTTAAAAAATAACTAAATTAATCTGTTCTTCAATACTATATTGATCAGGGTGTCTCTGAGTAGAGGAGCTAGTATAGTAGCTACTCCCCACATTGGTGCAAAAAAAAATAATAAAGTCAGTACTTATTTTTTTTTAACGTTTATTTATTTTTGAGACAGAGAAAGAGCATGAATGGGGGAGAGTCAGAGAGAGAGGGAGACACAGAATCTGAAACAGGCCCCAGGCTCTGAGCTGTCAGCACAGAGCCCGACGCGGGGCTCGAACTCACAGACTGTGAGATCATGACCCGAGCTGAAGTCGGACGCTCAACCGACTGAGCCACCCAGGCGCCCCAGTACTTACTTTTTTAAGGGCCAGTACTTATTAGTCTATAAGTTCTCAGCCAGCTTCAATGTTATTTTAGTAATAATAATGGTAATAATAATAATAAATACTATGTACCGAATTCTTACTACATGCCACATACCATGATATGTGCATTACAAACATCTTTGCATTAAAATCTCCTAACAATCCAGTGGGATAGGTTGTATTATCTTTGTTTTGACTGAAGCTTAGAGATGTTAAGTAACTTCCCAATGTCCAAAACTGCTGCAGAGCTAAGATTTAAACTCAACCATTTTGGCCTCAAAACCCATGCTCTTCCCCCTATTATATGTGTGTGTGTGCATGTGTAACGGTAGAGCTGATTACTGTGAGTTTACTCTTAGTGCAGGTGATAAATGGCAATGCCTGTGTTATAAAAGTGGTCAGAGAGTCTAGAATTTTGAGCCCAGCCTGAAAACTAGCTTTATGTGCTTGCTTTTTTTGGTGATCCTTTGTATTTGTAAAAAGTTATATATGTGATTTTCATATTCAAAATGTTTCTACAATTAGACTTCCTAAAAGTAATTATTTTGTAGTTGAAGTCAATATTTAATTGGTCAAATGTGTCTGATTACTTACAGAGATGGATTATTTAGTGATATTCTTGGCTTTGGCATTAATGCAAAAAACACAGTAGGAAAGAATTGTGGAAAGATAACCGTTTAAAGTATGTATTAATTTTGGGGTTGCCCTCCCACACTGTGCACACGCATAGACAAATGTCATAAGAAAATCAGGATGACAAATTATTCAACCATTAGCTTTCAAAAATGCCACTGACATAGTCCTACATGGAGAGATTCAGATGCATTCTGACAGAGCTTTGGCTCCCAGAGATTAAGTATACTCTTAGAGAAAAGAGAACAGTGAGTGGGAGAAAGGAGCCCTTCAAGCACCTAAGACATGCAGGAGAGAATCCCAGGCCCTCTCAGGAGCCAGCACTGCTGTTAGCCCAGAGCTGGGGCACTGTGTAGAAGCTGAGGCAGAGCTGATCATCCTCTTGTTGTCATTCTGTGGGTTCCACCCTTCACCAGGGGTCAGTCAACCCACTGTCCATCATTAGTCCAGTTTGAAGTATTGCTTGCATTTATCCCAAGAATCTTTTCAGCTTCTTCTGACTGTCTTTTGGGAGCAATCCCTCATCTAAAAGCTCAGGACATTCATAAACACCATTCTGCCCCGCCCCCCCCATCTCCACCTCCAGATTAGAAACTAGAAGTCTTGTAGTCTTTGATGGATGATAGTGGAGGAGCCTTGGATGCTTTGTGGGGTGATGCTGGTGACAGCTGAAAGAGAAACGTTCGGTCCAAAGAAAGCAGGATTATTTGGAATCAACGTGAAATCACCCATTGAGCTGGATAGCAGAGAAATGCACTACCCCATCACAGAGTGTTAAGACGCATGTTGTCACAGGCAGAGAATGTTTAGAGCTGGATAAGAGCTTGGAGAACATCTTGTCTCACCCTTCCACATAGCAGAGGAAGCCCAGAAAGGAGACCTGCCTTGTTTAAGGTCAAATAGCTGGTTAATGGCTCAGCCACAACCAGTAATAAGATGTCTTCAGTGAGTTTAATTCTCTCTTTAATGCACAGCACAGAAAAATCTGGCTTGCGGGCTCTTTTTGGGGGTTTTTCTCAGATCCTCTTTCAAGGCATGATAAGTCAAAATAGAGAACCCACTTCCTAAGTTCTTAGAATTCCAAATTCAACAGCTCACGGTGACACCAAAGTTGAGTTTTTGTTGGATTAGTTTATTGCCATAAGATAAAGTGAAGACATTTTTTTAAATAGTTGGGAGAGCCATAACTGCTTAAAGACAATTTCTCTTTCACAGAGACTCTATGAGAGTCTCACACTAGCCCATGAGTGCCTGAAACTGAGCACCCGAATGCATTTAATTGTGAAGAAAGCCCAAGCTTCCTTCCCCATGGTAAATGAAGAACTGACCTTTCTTCTAGCTGTGCCTGTGGTGTTCTGCTCTTTCTCTGGTGAATACTTACTTCACTGGGATTTTTACAGGTAGACAGGCAGGGGTGTCTACCTATTGCTCAGCATTTCTCTCATGACCACCTTGCAATTTCCAGTCCCCACACGGTTTATCTTTGGGTATTTCAGTGGGTTCACACCACTCTCCATTGTCACACCAACAAACTCATCAGGTTGCACTTTCTACATTTACTCTCCACAGGCCTCTGTTTTCTTTATAGTTTTTTATTTTTAGAAACTTCTTTTGAGAGGAACACTCATTTTTTAGCATCACTTTACGTATGTCATCGTATTTAAAGTTGATTTTTTTGTGGCAGATAAATGACTGTTTAAAGACTTCTCTTACGGGTATTGATGGAACCTTTAAATAAAATCTGTTTGTAAGACACAGGGATAGCCAGATATTAAATAAGTCAAAATTTTAAGTCTTCTCGTAAATATTAGGTTGACTCCTGATTAACATTTGAGATTCTTATTAACGTTCCACACATTGTTTCTGTTCAACCAATTTCAGAACTTCATGAAAAAGTTGAGTGGTGGGTTGGGTAATAGGATACCACAATGGGAGCCTTTTTTCCAAGGCTGGCATGTGAATAAAATACCTGCAAGTCATGAAAAGAAACAAAATAGCTTTAAAAGCAAGAATTTTCACATTGCTCGCAGCAGTATGCACATACTCACTGGGTGTAGGGCTGTTGGGGATGGGGGTCTAAACCTAAGACTCAGCCAGTATCCGCAGCGGTCTGAACTCCCCTATTTGTGACCTAGAACATCTCTGCTATGTGTGCCTTTCAGCTGACTGAGACACTTCACTTCATTCAGCAAAGGAAGTGAATTTCATTTACAATGTGTCCATTCTGAAGGCATTACTAGGGAAGCCAGGACTGTCCTCACCACAGTGTGTGCTGAGCATCTTGCTTCTGGTTTCCTCAGACAACACACAGGAAGTTGAAACGAAAGGGTCAAGTTGTGGTGACCTGGAAGCCCCAGTCAGGAGGGAAGAGTAGGATTCATCCCCATGGCCTCTGTGAAAGTTTGGGAAAAGCCAAGGGAAGAAAGAGAAGGAGAAAACCATTAGCCCTCCCCTGATGGCTTAAAAGATAGGTTCTGAACCCTGGGTGCACATTAGACTCATCTGGGGGAGTCTTTGTTGTTGTTGTTGTTGTTGTTGTTGTTTTTCAATGTCAAAACCCAGGATCCACTGCAGACAAAATGAACAGAAGGTCTGCATGTGACACCTGAGTGTCAGTACTTTTTCAGTTACTCTGGTGATTCTAATGCATGCAAATTGAAAATCACTACTTTACAACAAGGATCACAAACCTAAATGCCCACAGGTAACCGATTAGGAAGAGGGTCAGCTAAGAGTAGAGAGGAGGCAAGTAGCACACTAACAAAGTATGCCAGAGGGCAGCTGCTGCTGAGCTCCGGCCAACTCTTGTCATGCAGGAATGTGACACCATTTTGGCAGATTTTTAAATGTGCGTAACTAATCATTTAAAATTGGGTTGTGTGATACATGCTACAACATGCATGCACCTCGAAAACATTATGCTAAGTGAAAGAAGCCAGACACAAAAGGCCATATATTGTATGATTCTGTTGATATGGAATGTCCAGGATAGACAAATCCACAAAGAGAGAAAGCAGATTAGTGGTCACCAGGGGTGGGGGGAGGGGAGCATGGGTTGTGACTGCTTAAAGGGTACCAAGTTTCTTTGGAGGTGATGAAAATATTCTGCAAGTAGATAGTGGTAATGGTTGCACAACATTGTGAAATGTATTGAAAGCCACTGAACTGCACACTTCAAAATGGTGAATTTCATGCTATACCTTAAAAAATAACTGAGGGGGCACCTGTGTGGCTCAGCAGGTTAAGCTTCTGACTTCGCTCAGCTCATGATCTCATGGTTTGTGAGTTGGAGCCGGGCACCAGGCCCTGCGCTGGCAGCCCAGAGCATGGAGCCTGCTTCGGATTCTCTCTCCCTCTCTCTCTCTGCCCCTCCCCCACTTGTGTTCTGTCTGTCTCTCAAAAATAAGTAAGCGTTAAAAAAAACAAAAAACAGAAAAAAATTAAGCTTTGTGGACCAATTCAGACAGGCCAAAGAAAACCGTTTTATAGAAGCCATAGTGGGACCTATGGTGTAAAACCACATGGAGGAAAACCAGGGTCCACAAATTGGGCTGAAAATTTTTAAAAAGCCAATCTAACATAATGTATGCCTCCACATCCTTTCATGTCTGCAACCAAACTGGTAGCAAAGCTGTGCCTGCTGCACCCTTTTCATCTTAAGTCAGACACAAGCTGGGTTTTTTCCTTGATAGGTGCTAATGCAGAGCTGAGCGGCTGCCAGCCTATAAATAGAAGTAGGAACCCCTGAGGCGCAGAACAAGCTGGCTGATGAAACCAGCGCTTTTATTCCTCTCCCTTACTGTTTTGTTACTGAGCAAGAGAGGGGTAAAGGAAACAGACAATAATAACCACACTCATTAATTGTTTCTCCTTTATCAATTGCTTTTTTCCCAATGCACCGTTAAATTCACACTCCCTAATTTATCATCCCCTTCAGTAGGGTTTGTTACTCTTAATTACTCACAGCATGTTAAAATCATTACTACTTCCGTCGAGGCGCTCACTGGCTGCAACAAAGACAATGAGGGAGACTCGGCTCTTCAAAGAGACTTTGAGGTTTCCTTAGTCTCTGCTAGCCTGGGAATACACTTCCACTGGCAGTGGTTTAAGAGCTCCTCCAAATCCTACTTTACCACGGATCAAAGTGAAATATTACTAAAAACAAAAATAGAATTGCCCTCATCACTTACATCTTCTAAATATCGGGCCATGTTGCAGAAAGAAGATGAGATTCAGATTTTCCTTACCTGAATTCTTCTCTGTAGTCATTCCTAATATACTCAGCTAAAGTCTGGCTGTACTGCAGGCAGCTCTTGAGGATGTAAAACTGCTGATACAGCAGAACGGCTTGGCTGGGACTTAGCGGCTGAAATGAAGCTCCAAGCCCCTTTACCACCTGTTTCACAATACTGGCCAGGAAGGTGATCTAAACAAGAAAAAAACAGTGACAATGTAGACTGCATGCCACCCATAAGGCACCTGTTTCAGCTGGGGCCTCACCTATACAAGTAGGCTGAAGTCCTCACCGCCCTTACACCAATACTGCACTGTTTCTCACTGAAATGGTACTCAGAGAACGCCAGGCCGTAGACCAGTTGGGTTTACCGATCGCCCCCCTCAAGCAGGATCAGAATAAATGCTGACCATCAAGGAAATTTGGTTCTAATCTAAAAGGAGAACATTGGAAGCAGGAATGGGGACAGAAGAGGAGCTTGGAAAGGCCTGTGGCTTCCTCCAGGAGAGAAGATAGTCTCTCTTCTCTTCTGTTGTGAAGAACAAATGGCCCACAGAAATGAACTTCCTGTAACTTTCAAAGAGGGTTCCTCCAAGGCTGTAGTTCTCAAAATTTAGTATGCATAAAAATCACCTAGGCAGCTCACTAGACATGTGGAATCCTAAGGCCCACCTCAAGGTATTTACCATAAACAATTCCCATGGCTTTGTTCCACAGACAACACGTTGACAAACACCAAGTGAGAAACCCAGGAAAACCAGGCTTGACACAAACAAGTGATGTTGATGTCACTGTTAGCTGGGGTTTTCTTTCTTTTTTTTTTTTTTAACGTTTACTTTTGAGACAGAGAGAGACAGAACATGAATGGGGGGAGGGTCAGAGAGAGAGGGAGACACAGAATCAGAAGCAGGCTCCAGGTTCTGAGCTGTCAGCACAGAGCCCGACGTGGGGCTCGAACTCACAGACCACAAGATCACGACCTGAGCCCAAGTCAGACGCTTAACTGACTGAGCCACCCAGGCGCCCCTAGCTGGGGTTTTCATTGAGACTATGTCTGGGATCATTTCTGACGGAGCAATGAAAATGGAAATAGTAGCAATAATGTGAACTTCTTGAATTCCTGCTTCTCACACACACACACAAAAGTCATTTACAACCGAACCAAGGAGGCCTGGCTGGCTCAGTTGGTAGAGCATGTGACTCTTGATCTCGGGATCATGAGTTCAAGCCCCATGTTGGGTGTAGACATTACTTAAACACACACACCCCCAAAGGGGCACTTGGGTGGCTCAGTTAGTTAAGCTACTATAAGAACAGAAAGGAACACTAGTGTCCTTTCAAGCTCTAATGAGCAGGTCCCTTTGCATGCCCATTAAATTAGTAGCAATAAAGGTATTGCCTTTTCTATTGATGCTGCTCATCATGGGCTCAAATCCATGAACCTTGAGCCAAGCCAAAGTGGGACGCTTGGCTGACTGAGACAGCCAGGCTCTTCTAACTTTATTTTTTTAATTTATTTTGAGAGAGAGAGAGAGAACAAATAGGGGAGGGGCAGAGAGAGAGGGAGACAGAGAACCCCAAGCAGGCTCTGCACTGTCAGCGCAGAGCCTGACACAGGGCTCCATGTCACAACCGTGAAATCATGACCTGACCTGAAATTAAGATTCAGAGGCTTAACTGACTGAGCCCCCCAGGGGCCCCATGCCATCTCTTTACTATGAGAGATTTATTTTTTTTTGTTTTAATCTACTTCTATGATTTTTATTTTTTAAACATAATTTATTGCCAGATTGGCTTACCTACAACACCTAGTGCTCATCCCAACAAGTGCCCTTCTCAGTGCCCATCACCCATTTTCCCTCTCACCCACCCTCAGTTTGTTCTCCGTATTTTAGAGTCTCTTGTGGTTTGCCTGCCTCACTCCCTCTCTGTTTCCCTCTGTTTATAACAATTTTTCCCCTTCCCTTCACCCATGGGATTCTGCTAAGTTTCTGAAGATCCACATATGAGTGAAAACATATGATATCTGTCCTTCTCTAATTGACTTATTTCACTCAGCATAATACCTTCCAGTTCCATCCACGTTGCAGCAAATGTCATGATTTCATTCTTCCTCATTGCCAAGTAGTATTCCATTGTATATATAAACCACATCTTCTTTATCCATTCATCAGTTGATGGACATTTAGGCTCTTTCCATAATTTGGCTATTGTTGAAAGTGCTGCTATAAACATTGGGGTACAAGTGTCCCTATGCATCAGTACTCCTGTATCCCTTGGGTAAATTCCTAGCAGTGCTATTGCTGGGTCATAGGGTAGATCTATTTTTAATTTTTTGAGGAACCTCCACACTGTTTTCCAGAGCAGCTGCACCAGTGTGCATTCCCACCAACAGTGCAAGAGGGTTCCCGTTTCTCCACATCCTCTCCAGCATCTATAGTCTCCTGATTTGTTCATCTTAGCCACTCCGACTGACGTGAGGTGGTATCTCAGTGTGGTTCTGATTTGTATTATGAGAAATTTAAAGCAAAACATGACATAATCAGATTTTTTAAAATAGATCCCTCCAACCAGTCTGGTGGGAAGGTAGGACAGACTATGTAGATGTGATTGTACTACCAAGGAGAGAGTCAGTGGTACTAGGGACAAGGATGGTGGCTGACAGGACAGAGTGCCCCAGTGATTCCAAGTGTTAATTCATACTCGCCAACTCATACTTGCTGTTTAAGACAAATGTTCGTTTTTTCACTTACATATATAGCCAATATCTTAATGTGTTCTGTTTTCTACAGGATATATTTTAGGTTTTTCATGAAATAAAGATCATATTTAAGATACCATCTTAGGGGCAACTAGGTGGTTCAGTTGGTTAGGCGTCCAACTCTTGATCTTGGCTCAGGTCATGATCTCACGGTGGTGGGATTGAGCCCCTGCTTGGGATTTTCTGTCTCCCTCTCGCTCTGCCCCTCCCCTGCTCATGCCTGCACGTGTACGCTTTCTCTCAAAATAAATAAATATTTTAAAAACTTAAAAATACAAGATATAATTTCAGTCCTGTAAGCACTCAGGCCCCAAATATTAAAAAACGCTTTACCTTAATTAAATAATAAAATCATCAGATTTACATTTTGCTTCTATTTCATAATTGTGACTACTTATAGAGAAAATTTGTGTTTTATTAATTAAGCACTGGAGCACCGGTATAATTAACTGTGAGTGGTGCTTTCGTTTTTGCTTCTCGGTACTTACGAAGGGAGGACGACTTTGTAGGAAGGACATCATCCAGCTAATAGCAAACTCTTCTGGTCCCAATCCAAGATTTCCCTAAAAGACTCACAGAAATAAACAAGTTATATTCATGAAGTTTGAGTTGTACATGATATTCATTCTCAAATACATTTTATCTTGATTGATGAAATCAGTATTTAGGAAAATAAGCTGATGAATACTTAAGAGCAAAAGTAGTATCATTTAAGTCAGACAATTTTGGAGACCATCTCTAATACAAGCATATTAAAGATATATTGTTAATCATTTGATATATAATCACAGAAATATAATAGTCATATGATATATATAACAATCATACAATATAATATGTATAATAATATATATCGTACCTGCTGAAAGACAAGAAATATCTCATATAAAAGTGCCGTAGCTGTATCTGTATATTCCTTGATAAGGTTCTGTAACTAGAATTTTAAATAATAGTCAATGCAATTTCACTGGCAGAGCCAGAAAATGGTAATTTCTCCTGGTTACCTTTATATACTTATAAAAGAATTTTTGATTAACAGAAAATATAATTAGTGTGGTCATTTTTCCTATTATGCTTGGTTCAGTCATTCTCAAAAAAAAAAACGCTCTCATAAAAAGACTACTTGGAGTGCCTGGGTGGCTCAACCTTGATTGAGCCAAGTCTTGGTTTTGGCTCAGGTCATGATCCCAGAATTGTGGTTCTGCACTGAGCATGGAGCCTGCTTAAGATATATTCTCTCTCTCTCTCTCTCTCTCTCTCTCTCTCTCTCTCTCTCTCTTCCTCCCCACCCCACCCCTCTCCCTTACTCATGCTCATTCTCTTTTTCTCTCACTGTCTTCCTAAAATTAAAAAGTATATATTTTTTAAAGTTGTTTTTTTTTTTAATATAATTTATTGTCAAAAAAGACTACACATTAGAGAATTTCTAAGAAAGTGGGTCAGGGAAAGAAGATACAATGGCCCACAGAATACTAACACCCAAAAAACTGCACACTTGATTTGCAAAATCATTCAGATCAACAACCCTACATCCCTTCGAGTATTGAAAATATGCCCCCTAGAATTAAGGTGGGAGATTCTCTGGAAAATTTAGCCTTATGCGCAACGTGAACTACAACTCCCTCTGTAAAATGGGTATATATAGGGCTTAGAGACTTTTGTTTTTGCTCTCAAGAACTCCAGTTAGTGAGGCTGTCTTTTAGCACTTGGTGCATGAGAACTGTGTGGGCATGCTATAGGCCAACACATTTTCCCTGACAGTATTCTTTGCAAGAACGAGCTCCAGTTTGAAATTTCACACTGTTAGACCTTGGAACCAAAATTTACATGATCTTCACGAATAGCCTGCGTGCAAAAGATCACCAAGTTCAAAATCAGGAAACTCAGACCTATCTATTCTTCCCACTAGATATTTTTATATGGAAATGCCAGGGTGGGGGAGAGGGGAAAGTGGGTGATGGGCATTGAGGAGGGCACCTGTTGGGATGAGCACTGGGTGTTGTATGGAAATCAATTTGACAAATTATATTTAATATAAAAAAATGCCAATGGCAATCCAGTCAACTAATCCCAAACCAAGCTCATTATTTCTCCCCCCTTTAAAAATTTTTTTAAAAACGTTTATTTTTAAGAAAAAGAGAGACAGAGCACGACCAGGGAGGGGCAGAGAGAGAGGGACACACAGAATCCAAAGCAGGCTCCAGGCTCTGAGCTGTCAGCACAGAGCCCAACACGGGGCTCAAACCACAAACCTCAGGCTCATGACCTGAGCCAAAGACAGACAGGTAACTGACTGAACCACCCAGGTGCCCTTCATTATTTCCCCTTTGAACCTACTCTTCTTGCTGTAATTCTTATTTGACACCCTGGCCAGAATCTAAAATTCATCTAATCCTCACAGTTTATTTTCACGTCAACCTATGAGTGCAATTTCCTAAAAATTACTGGAATCTATCCTCTTTACAACTACCATCCCTTTTCTTCATTAATTTATTCAACAAATATGCATCAGACCCTATACTAAGTGTTGGGGATACAATGGGTAGCAACAGGGACATGGGTAATACCTCATGGAAGGTAGTGGAGAACAAACAATAATCTAACAATCAAATAAATAAATAAACGCGTAGTTGCTAACTGAGACAAGGGCTGTGAAAGAAGAGAATAGGAAGTTAGGAGAGCTCTAAAAAGAAGCCTGGTCTCATTTCAGGAGTCAAGGATAGCTTCCCTCTGTCCTATTATCGTTCCTCACCTGGACTCCTGCACTAACTTCTTAGCCCTGCCTGAGTCTTGCTTCTATCCCACTCTTTAATCCCTGATCCACTCACTCCACTGTTAAAGATGGTATTATAGACACTCCATTATAGACTTATAATATTCAGACATATGAATATTATATTCATGTTATATTTAATTAACATTTGTCTCTCTAACCAGACTATAAACCAATAAGGGCACATGTTGTATCTGTTTTGCTTCTTGTTTGTACCCCCACAGGCTAGCACACTATTTATTTAGCTCATAACAGATTTTCAACAAATATTTATTGAGTGAATGAATATATGTAAGAGTTTTCTAAAACAAAACTATATGTTTAAGAACTATCAAATCATGTCCCATCCTTTTTTTTTAAGTTTATTTGAGAGAGTGGGAGAGAGAACATGAGTGAGGGAGGCACTGAGAGAGAGAGAGAGAGAGAGAGAGAGAGAATCCCAAACAGGAACCACACTGTCAGTACAGAGCCTGACGTGGGGCTCAATCCCACAAACCATGAGATCATGACCAGAGCTGAAATCAAGAGTCAGACACTCAACTGACTGAGTCACCCAGGCACCCCTATGTCCCATCCTTTAAAAAAAATTATGTGTTGTTCTGCTTGAAATAAACTAGTAATAAGCTGATTTATTCTCTCAGGATATGTGCTTTCTAGGTAGTTTGGTATTTCTAATGTTTTAGTAAAACTTTAGAAAAACAAGTAATTCTCACTGAGTTTGTACTACTTAGATAGCTAAGGAGATGATAAACTAAAGCAAGAAGATGATAAACTAAAGCAAGAGAGTTAACCCTAAAATCTCTTAACGAGAGTGCTTTTTTACCATTAGACCCTACTATGGAATTAACATATACATAAATATTTTGTATAGAGACAAATAAGCAGATTTATCTAATACATGCTGAATACTAATTATTTTCCTTAGTATACATACTTAAAACATCTAAAATGGATGTATTAATATTGATAGACTAGCTATCTAAGTTTTGAGGTTAATGGTAAAATACTTACTCTGAATTATATTTATATCCTCTACCATGTCATGGTCTACATTAGAAGACAGAAATCCAGAGCACCCCTATATATTATATTTAGTCTACCCCAAAATTCTTATCTTATCATCTTACCTCAGCATCAAAAGACATCTCAACTAAAGTTGAATCAGCCACCAACTGGATATCAAACACTGGACAAGATTTTGGAATCTGAGGTTCACTAATTAATATTACCAAAAGATTAAATAATGCTCCCCTAAAAAAAATAAAAGGCAATTAATAAATAAAGTTTGAAAAGAAAAATAGTAAAGCCAAGTTTGCAGACACTGAATATACTTACATTTAAAAGTATAAAGCATTAAGGCACCTGGGTGACTTAGTTAAGTGTTTGACTTCGGCTCTGGTCATTATCTCATGGTTTGTGGGTTCGAGCCCCACATCAGACTCTGCGCTGGTGGTGTAGAGCCTGCTAAGGATTCTCTCTCTCTCTCTCTCTCTCTCTCTCTCTCTGCCCCTTCCCCATTTTTGTGCTCTCTCTCTCTCAAAATAAATTAACTTTAAAAAAAAAAAAAACACATGTGTATGTGACACATGCATATCATTTTTTTAAAAAAGTATAAAACATTGCAGACCATTCTCGGACTGAACTTTTGGAGCCTTGGACATGCAGACAATTAAGTAGTGATAAAAAATTTAATTCAAAATATAATTTCATTGTCTTTTGGCTCAAAGCAAGTATAGGTCTAGAAGTTCCCAAAGCTTAGGAAGCTTAGTAAGTCTGGACTTAAGGGAAATTTGGGTGAGTTCAGTTGAATCAGTATTTCCCAAAGGGCTTCCCCCTCCCTCCTCCCCCCCCCGCCAAAGGACTTTTTATGGCCTATTAATTCCAGGAAATATTATAGTAAAAAAAAATAGATTATTTGTTTGAAAGAGGCATAGTAAATACTTGGTTAAACCAAATTCATTGCATATCTTTACTACTGGACTTCTCAGAGGCTTTAATATGCTCACATGCATTGTATATCTCTGAGACAAAGAAACCACCATATGAAACACTTCTTAAAATCCGTGTTTGAACACAGATTTTTTTGACTCTAGAACCCTTTATAAAATTTTTGGGTTGAAATACAGTTAACATATTAGCTTCAGGTGTACAACATAATGATTCAGCAATTATATGCATCATCAAATGCTCACCACGATAAGTATAGTTACCATCTGTCACCATACAAAGTTACTATAATATGATTAACTATATTCCTATGCCATACTTTTCATCCCCATGACGTATTTATTTTATAGCCAGAAATTTGTACCTCTTAATCCCTTTAACCTATTTTACCCATCCCCCCCCCTTCCATCCCACAACCACTAGTTTCTTCTCTGTATTTACAACTCAGTTTCTCTTTTTGTTGTTATTTGTGTTTGTTCATTTGTTTTGTTTTAAAGTTTCCACATGTAAGTGAAATCATATGGTATTTGTCTTTGTCTGACTTATTTTACTTAGGATAATGCCCTCTAAGTCCATCCATATTGTTACAAATGGCAAGATTTCATTCTTTTTATGGCTGAGTAGTATTCCAGTATAATATATATGTATATATATAACCTCTTCTTTATTCATGCACCTACTGATGGATCTTTAGGTTGGTTCCATATCTTGGTATTGTAAATAATGCTGCAGTAATTATAGTGCATATATCTTTTCAGATTATTGTTTTCATTTTCTTTTGATAAATACCAAAAAGTAGAATTACTGGATCATATGGTACTTATATTTTTAGGTTTTTGAGGAACCTCCATACTGTTTTCCAGAGTAGCTACACCAGTTTATATTCCCGAAAACAGTGCATGAGGATAGAATTATTTTTTTAACAAAGCATTTCAAAGGCTTACTATTCCACTGAAGACTGTTAGTTAATAAAACTAGTATTAAACTTTAAGTCTTTTGCTTTCCAAAGTGGTGTACTATCCATTAATCTACACTAATAACTCACTTAAATTGTTACTACACATTTGAATAATACACACTATTATTTGAGAATAAAAGGGCAAAAAAAAAAAATCACAATCCAAAGCAAGGATTCTGAGGAGATAGGTTTGGTAACACCATCTTCATGTGTGTCATGCAATCCATATATGGTTAAAAAGGAGCTGAAGGCAGGCTATTAGGAAAATCACTTGCCTAACTGAAGACAGTGCCAGAGTAGCTTTGACAGACGGGAATAGTAAAAGAATTTACAGCTAGGACTATATAAAAATCCTCTATAACCATAAGCATTCTCTTTGTAATGGAATAAAGGAGACTAAAAAAATCCCTGCTTGGTAATATTTGAGGCTTCATAATCTTTTTTTTATCTTAAATTTAAAAAAAAAAAATTAGCATTTATTCATTTTTGAAAGACGGAGCATGAGTAGGAGAGGGGCAGAGAGAGAGGGAGACACAGAATCCAAAGCAGGCTGGGCTCAAACTCACAAACTGTGAGATGACGACCTGAGCAGAAGTCTGATCTTAACCAACTGAGCCACCCAGGCGCCCTGAGGCTTCACTTAAATCATTACCATGATTACAAGTTCATGATTAACCAAAATTTTAATAAAATAGGATTTGCTTCCTTTCTCCAACTCAAAGAGCAAGTCAGTTCTCATATCTACAAAAGAAGAATCTTGTCAGCACACTTCTCAAAAAAGTAGGATATGTCCTACAGGATATTTGCTAATGTTTTATTCAGGCTGTTTTAAAATAGCCCATCTTACTTTTAGAAGATCCTTCCAAAATCAACAAAACATTCCATTTAGAAGCTTTTCTTGATATTAAGTTTGAAATGGCATTCCATTTTCTATTACATTTAATTAAAGTCCTTTATTTTCAGCAGTATCTTCTTTTAAAAGTATCATATATCCAGGGCTAAGGGAAGAAACTCAAATTCTGGGTCACTTGCTGTGATAATATATGAATTCAACCATGACAGTATTAAAATATGAAAGGATTATGGCACATTTTGAGAAGAAATACACAGAACTGAGTTGAACTAATAAAATCTCTACTTAAGGAACAAATTAAGAGGAAAATGCGGAAATGATTAAATGCTTTTTTATTTGTTCAAATGGAGTTTAATTTGGAATCTACTCCTTCTGCCAACACTATTTAAAATCCACTAGGTCAATAATAGAAAAAATTTTAATCTATATGGTAGTTTCATCCCCAAAATAAAGACAACTTACGGGATTGACATTACAGTCTTAAAAAATGGTGCCAACAGTTGTGATACTTTTATTGTTTAGATTGTTATTATTTCCAGTGTAAGAATTTTGAATGCATTGTAATATATTTTTATACAGACTTTGAAAGGCAAACTCATGGTCTCATAAGGCAGTCTATGTTATTGTGGTAGGCAGAATTCTAATATGGCTTCCAAGATATCTTACCCCCTTTTATATATACCCTAAATAATCCTTTTCCCTTAAGTGTGGGCAGGACCTGTGAATATATTAAGCTATTACTCCTGTGATTATGTTATGTTAGATGAGAAAGGTGAAGGGATTTTGCATACATAATTAAGGTTCCTAATTTGTTGACTTTTGAGTTAATGAAAGGGAGATTATCCTGGGTGAGCCTGATTATCGAGCTGAGCCCTTTAAAGAGTGCTTAGGCCTTCCCTGAGCTCAGAGATAGTCTCCTGCCAAGAAGCAAACCATCATGAGTTTACAGCTATAAAGAAATTAATTCAGCCAACAGAAACCCAAATGAGTTTGGGAGATAACCCCAAGCCTCAGATGAGACAGCAGCCCCAGCCAACGCCTTGACCACTGCCTTGTGAAAACCAGAGCACATGATCCAACTGAGCTCTGCCCAGATTTCCTGATCCACAGAAACTGTAGGATAAGTAATTTATAGAGTTTTAAGTCACTGAGTTTGCAGTAATTTGTTACAGGGTAATAGAAAACTAATGCAGTTATATTAAACATTTACTGTGCTAATTAATGCTATGGGTAACACGACTGGACCCTATGCATATCTAAAAGTTAGTATTACAACCAGACTGTATTATAGCAATATATGTGCACCAATGTACATGAAAATAATTAGTCGTATCAGGAAAGAGACTTGCTGTAGTAAGGCTGATGTGTCCAAACCAAATTAAGAAAGAACAATTAAAACAACACTTTGCAGCAGAGGTTAGTAAGAGTGATGGTTTTTCAACTTGGACAGAGAAAGGTAAGGACCAAAAAGTGTATAAAAAGGGTAACATGATTCTGCAATAATTCAGTGTGACAAAAGACAGAAATGTAAGAAATAATCTTGGATCTCTGTCCTGGAGATTGGGGAAATGGCAGTTCTATCAACTACATAAAGAAGTATAGAGACGCTTGGGTGGCTCAGTCAGTTAAGTGGCCAACTTTGGTTCAGGTCATGATCTCAGAGTTCATGAGTTTAAGCCCCACATTGGGCTCTGTGCTTATAGTGCAGAGCCTGCTGGGATTCTTTCTCTCTCCCTCTCTCTCTGCCCCTTCCCTACTTGTACTCCCTCTCTCTGTCAAAATGAATAAATAAACTTAAAAAAAAAAAAAGTATACATAGGGGGCACCTGACTGACTCAATCAGTAAAGCATCGGACTCTTGATCTTGGGGTTGAAAGTTCGAGCCCCATGTTGGATGTAGAGATTACTTAAAAAAAAAATAGAAAAAATAATAGAGTGTGTCTTACTTGTTCACTGTAAAGCAGGGTCAACAAACTACGGCCTCTAGGCCAAATAACCCAGAGCCTATTTCTATAAATAGAAATTCTATAAATTTCCTTTATTGGAACAGAGCTGTGCCCATTCATTTATATATTGTCTGTGACTGTTTTTCTGCTACAGTGGCTAAGTTGAGTATTTACAACAGAGACTATATGGCCTGAAAAGCCAAAAAATGATTTCCATACTCTCATATTAAAAAATGTTTGACCAATCAACCTGGTATGTATGATGCCCATAGTATGTCCTTGGCATAGTCCCAACAGGTGCTTAGAAGCAAGTTGTTAATGAATAAGAGCCTGGGTGTCAGTCAGTTAGCGTCGACTTCAGCTCAGGGTTGTATTCTGGTCCATGGGTTGGAGCAGCGTCGAGCTCTGTGCTGACTGCTCAGGCTGGAGCCTGTTTAATTCTGTGTCTCCCTCTCTGACCCTCCCATTCATGCTCATTCTCTGTCTCAAAAATAAAAAAAAATTTTTTTTTAATTTTTTTTTCAATGTTTATTTATTTATTTGACAGAGACAGAGCTTTGCATGAAAGGGGACTAAAAGCAGAGACAGGTCTAGAGGGTCTGAATGGTTTCATCAGCTCAGAGTCTTTCCTGGCCTGTAACCTCATTTAACGCTAGATCGGACCTAGTTGAGCCGACGTTAACCCACTGCAAAAAATCTAGTAATGCCAAAAAAAATATAATTTTTTTTTAAAGAAATATTAATGAATATAATCATTAAAATTAATTTATAAAGTTCTCTAATAAATAGCCAGAACAAAATTACTAGGAGTTCTTATTCTTTTCCCTGGTTCAAATGTTTTAGGGCCCATGCTCTCATTTTTCTTCTACTTTCTGCTAGAGAAAATTTAGGTAAACAGTTGATGAGGGTGGAAAAAAATTAAGATTTTAGTCAGAACATTGGCCTAGCATGTAATTCATAATCTATAAATCATATAAAAAGGTCAAGCAGATAATATGCAAAATATGCAAACACGTACTTTCTGGGGCAAAGAATGCTATTGTCCCCCTGTTTTATATTTTTTCATTCTTTCTTTTAATAATGGGTATCCCTATCGCCATCCAAAGTTTAGCTAGGTACATAGCCATGTAACTACAGACACATCCAAGCTCTCTTGCAGCTATATATGGGCCTATGCCTAAAGTTCTCATCTGCAGAATGTGAGCAGAAAAATCATATATGCCTTGTTTAAAAAGGAAATGTGCAGGGCTCCTGGGTGGCTCAGTCAGTTAAGCCTCCAACTCTTGATTTCGGCTCAGGTCATGATCTAACCGTTCATGGGATCAAGCCCTGCATTGGGCTCTGCACTGACAGCATGGAGCCTGCTTGGGATTCTCTCCCCCACTGTTTGCCCCTCTCCACCGTGCATGCGCTCTCTCAAAATAAATAGATAAACTTACACCATAAGCATTTTTCTTTTTAAAAAGGAAATTTGCTTGCCTTCTACTTCTCTTCCTCCATTCCATAGGATTTAATGAAGTCTCAGAGGTCAGCCAGCTTCAATCATGAAGACAAACACAGTGTAATAAAAAAAGTCAGAGCAGGGCACCTGGGTGGCTTAGTCGGTTGAGCGTCTGACTTCAGCTCAGATCGTGATCTCACAGCTCGTGAGTTCAAGCCCACATCAGCCTCTGTGCTGACAGCTCAGAGCTTGGAGCTTGCTTCAGATTCTGTGTCTCCTCTCTCTCTTCCCCTCCTCTTCTTACTCTCTGTCTCACTCTCTCTCTCTCTCAAAAATAATAAACATTAAAAAAAAAAAAAAAAAAAAAAAAAAAAGATGTCCGAGCAACAAAAGGGAAGGAACCTAGGTCTCTGGCTGATCTCGTAGAGGAAAGCATGACTATGTACTCTGGACTAGTATGTGAAAAGATGTAAATTTCTATCTTCTGCGGACCACATATTTTAGCATATCTTTATTATAGCAGCTTACCCTATGTTAATAAACCCCCAACATCATTCACTTCAAAGTCACACAATTATATATTAGACGAAGCTACTATAACTCCTGCATTTGCAGTATAGTCTTTCTGTTGTGTGGGTATAAGGGCACTCTATAAAATTCTAGTAGAGAAGCCCTGGCTTTAAATGTATGATGGGGCATTTGGTCTCTTTCAAGTTCAGCAGACAATGACAAAATATAAAATTATGCCAAAAAAAATCTTTGTGCCCTTAATAATCCAGAGAGACAGAGAGTGCTCACTATGTGCCAGTTGATCTGTTCATCACAGAAGGAAGTGGAAAGACAAAAGAGTTTCATATACTTACAAGGGGATTGACTAGAAGAGTAAAAGAGCTATCAGTTTTGGAAGACACTCAATAGAGTACTTAATGGGTTGCAACTACAAGGTCCCAATGTCTTCTTCTAAAAAACCTTACTTCTTAGCTGCCAATGTCTTTAGGCGTGATGACTCAGTTTCTGTTTCTCTGAACATCAGTCCCAGAGTCTGCATAATTTCAATGCATGCCCTAGAAAACAAAGAGGAAAAAAAGCATGGGAATGGCATGATTGCATTACAAGTCCAGAATTTCACAAAATCAGTAATCCTTGATAGAATTGCTCTCAGGTAATTTATATAGAAAAAAAGTACGAGAAGGAAATTCTGTATATCAGATTGTCAACGTTGGTTGACCACTCTGTGATTGCTATATAGTAAACACTCAGAAATATTTGTTGAATGAATCAATAGCTGAATGTCAGGATTAAGTTATTTTCATATTGTTTTTTTATCCTTAAAATTTTTTTCTGATAATCACACACTACTTTAAAATTATTTTTAATAATTTTAACTTTTTCAGGTAGGTAATATTTGGCTCAAAATTTCAAAGGTAAAAAAGGGAAGACAGTGAAAGGTGTCTTTCCTCCAGACACCCATTTTTTTTTTCCTTTGGGACAACCGATATTCTAGTTTCTTGTATAGCCTTTCTTTAAAAAGTAGAACATAATGGGAGCACCTGCCTCGGTGGCTCAGTTGGTTAATCATCCGACTTTTGATTTTGGCTCAGGTCATGATCTCATGGTTCATGGGTTCGAACCCTGAGTCAGGCTCCACACTGAGAGTGAGGAGCCTGCCTGGGAATCTCCCTCTCCCTCTCTCTCTGCCCCTCCCCTACTTGTGCTCTCTCTCTCCCAAAATAAATAAATAAACTTAAAAAAAAGTAGAACAAAATGAATGCTATTTTAAAAAATTTATGTGAAGCAAAACTTGCAGCACCATTTATCATTAATATGGTACGTATTTTGTACAGTGCCTTCCATTCATCTTTAACACCCTAGGGGGAAAAGAATCTATGATTATCCAGTTAATACTTACACCAGCTCATCAGCCCTTTGGCTTCTATTTTGAAGTGTGCTCTTATCCCTAGACTCTGGCAAGTACTCATGAAGTTTGTTCACTAGGAAATAGAAAAGGTCACTGGTCTGTGAAAGCAAGCAGGAAAGAAGATGGTAAATAAGTTATCAGATGGTAAAACTCTATCTTTACATAATAAAAATATGAAGAAATTATTCTCTGGGGACGAAGTGAATTAAAATATCTCTCATTAATATTAGCATAATCCGAACTGAAAACACTTTTACTTACCACCGGGAAACAGACCACTGTTCTGGTGAACAGAGCCAGAGCTAAAGCCTAGGGGTGATGCTGAGAGATGCTTAATAGGCTTGGCTCTCCCGTTAATATTGAAGGCCCTCTAGAAGTAGGTGTTTAATCTCAGGCAAGTCATTTACTTACCTGGGAATAATATATTAAATGGAGGCTACTCTAATTCCTGTCTTTCCAAAGTAATTTGGCCTTTGTGAGGATACAATGAAATAAGGGCTAGAAAAACACTTTTAAAAATGTTTGCTAACCTGGGGCGCCTGGGTGGCTCAGTCGGTTAAGCGTCCGACTTCGGCTCAGATCATGATCTCACGGTTCATAGGTTTGAGCCCCGCATCAGGCTCTATGCTGACAGCTCAGAGCCTGGAGCCTGCTTTGGATTCTGTGTCTCCCTTGCTCTCTGCCCTTCCCCTGCTTGTGCTCTGTCTCTCTCTGTCTCTCAAAAATAAATAAATGTAAAATAAATAAATATATATATTTACTAACCTAAAAGCAAACTCACAACATTGGTGTAGCCTAATGAAGATGGTGGAGAATGATACTAATAATTCTGTTAATACAGCATATTTCCATCTCTGCCAAAATAAACACAGACTTAAGAGTGCAGGAACCAAATTTTTTGTGCTGCTATGCCGTCTCTTGAGATAAATCGAGCATGAAGTAAGCACTGGCCCATGAAATCAGGCAAGTTGGTACTAATTAGAAATATAATGTAATTGCTTCTCTTTTCTGTCCCTCTCTTGTTCGTTTTCTTCCCCAGGACTTTTGTTTACTAGTGACAAATTAGACTCTTTGTTTAGACAGGTATTATGGGTGCCTGTATATAGGTGATCTGGCATGAGAAGAGGCTGAGGATGGCAGGTGGAGAGAGGGCCCAGAGGAGAAGGAGCAGGATGCATAGCAGACCCTCTCAGAAGGGCTGCTGTTTACTCACTGCCCTGGTAAATTAGCACGGTTGGTGGCTCTGCACACTAGCTCTGGTGCCTAGTTCTTTCAGTTCATATCCCAGCTCTGCCATGGGTCAGCTTTGTCATATTTGGCAAATTACATACACACTGTATGACTCAGGTTATGTCTAAGATGGAATTAATGTCACCTGATGGGACGGAAATAAGATAGTATTTGTAGGGGCTTCTGGGTGGCTCAGTCGGTTAAGCATCTGACTTCGGCTCAGGTCGTGATCTCACACTCTGTGAGTTCAAGCCCCACATTGGCCTCTGTGCTGACAGCTCAGAGCCTGGGGCCTGCTTCGGATTCTGTGTCTACCTCTCTCTCTGCCCCTCTCCAGCTCGTGCTCTGTCTCTCTCTCCCTCAAAAATAAATAAAAACATTTTTTAAAAGAGAAAGAAATAGAATTACCATATGATTCAGCAATCCCACTAATGGGTACACTCCCAAAAGAACTGAAAGAGTCTCAAAGAGGTATTTACACACCCATATTCATAATGGTAACGTTCACAATAGCTTAAACATGGAAGCAACCCAAGTATCCATCAATGGAGAATGGATAAGCAAAATGTGTTATATACATAAATGGAATATTACTCAGCCTTAAAAACAAGCAAATTCTGACATATGCTACAACATTGATGATCCTAGAAGACATGATAAGTAAAATAAGCCAGTCACAAAAAGACAAATACTGGATGGTTCCACTTACATGAAATATTTAGAGAAGTTAAATTCATAGAAGTAGAAAGAAGAATGGTGTTGCCAGAGGCCGCGTGAAGTGGGGGAATGAGGAGTTATTGTTTGATGAGTATAGTTTCAGTTTTGCAAGATGAAAAGAGTTCTGGAGAGGCTCCAACAGTATACAGGACCTACTTAAAATCACTGGACCATACATTTAAAAATGGCTAAGATAGGGACACCTGAGTGGCTCAGTCCGTTAAGCGTCTGACTTCAGCTCAGGTCCTGATCTCACGGTTCGTGGGTTCGAGCCCTGCATCGGGCTCTTTGCTGATAGCTGAGTCTAAAGCCTGCTTCAGATTCTGTGTCTCCTCTCTTTGCCCCTCCCCTGCTTGTGCTCTCTCCCTCTCTCTCTCTCAAAAATGAACATTAATTTTTTTTTCTTTTAATGGTTAAGATGGCAAATTCTATGTTTATGTGTATTTTACCACAATAAAAAATAATGTTGAGA